GGGAAGGGGAAGGGGAAGGGGAGAGAGAAGACCAAATAAAACCCAAGGCTATGTAAATGCCATTGTAAGGCTCAGGGTCTTGTTATGTAGCCCAGGCTGGCCTTGAACTCCTCCTGCTACAGCCTCCTGGGCACTGGTTTCCTGGAGTACTCCAGCACACCCAGCTCTTGTAAGCTTGTTCTGGGGCACTAGTTCAGATCCCCATGGAGCTCTGTCTGTCTAATTCAGTGTTTCCCAGCATCTAGAACAATGCCCCAAACCAGGAGCAGCGGCACACACCTGTATTCCCAGCACTTGGGAGGCAGAGACAGGCAGATTTCTGTGAGTTCCAAGATAGCCAAGGCTACATACAAATAGAGAGAAATGCCCCCCCCCCCAAAAAAAGGAAAAAAAAAGTAGATCAGCTGTCAGCATAGTAGCAGGGAATTCATCAGAGCACTATGTCTATCTGCTGTGAGCCGGACAACTCTTGAGATAGGAAACAGCAGAAAAGGTTCAGTGAGATCAAATGACAGGCCAAGGCTGGAAGGTTCAAAACTGGTTAAGACTGTAATCCCTGCGGCTTCTCCAGGGCCAGGGGAGTGGTGGAGAACTCACACCATGCTATGCGATGTACGTGCTGCTTCTCCAGCTCACGTTTGGACTTTCCAGGAAATCTGCTTACTTTCTCACCTCCACTGTTACACAAGGAAAGGTGCAGCTGGAGCATTGGCACACGGAGCTCCACAGAGCCCGGGAAGAACTGGGTGTGGCGGCCTTACTCCACGCAGAGGGCTTCACTAGCAAAGAAATAGAGGAAAGGGTGCAATGGCCAGTGGCCCATCTAGGAATGGAGCCTGGTTTTCTCCCTGGAGTGTGTGTGTGCGTGTGTGCGTGTGTGTGTGTGCGCGCGCAGTGGTAAATAAGGCCTGGCCTTCACTCATTGCGAAGGAGGCACACAGGTGGGTACTTCTTAAGTCTGTTGCCGAGAGCATGTTGTGATTGGCCGTCTTTGTCAGGTAGGGAAGAATGTGACAGGTGAACTGGCATCACTTTGGAACCATGTCACTCACCTGGACTGATTTTAACCCTTGTCAGGGGAACATTTAGCAATGCCTAGAGTTGCTACTGGCTGGCAGGCAGGAGTCAGAAATCTTACTGCGCATCCTTATGGGACAAGGACAACCTCTTCTGCCACAACCAGGATCCACCAGAAAACACCCACAGGACTGAGGACGTGAAAACCTGTCTAAAAGAAACTTATACTGGAGGCTGTGTGGGCTGTGTGACGGGGCTTGGGGGTGTGGTGCGGCTTGGGGTATGGAGAATGTGGGACTGGAACAGGCACAGCCTGGCTATCACCAGTGGAAGTAGAGATTAAAGAAGATTATTTGTACCATTCCTCCTGGTTAAAACAAATTAATTCGGTCAAGATTGTTGGAATACATCATCCTGAGAGACCCGGGTGCCCAGCCATCAGTTCTGGGAATGTCTAGCCTGATTTTGTGTTAAACAGAAAGATTCCTAACTTATGCTGGGCAAAGTAGTACCTGACTGAAAACTAAATCATCAGAAATGTTGAAGGCCTCTGAGCAGCAGCTGCCTTGGAGGGCCAGACACTAAAGCATGGCAGGATAGCCAGTCCTGCAGTGCACTACAGCGGGAATGCTGCTTCTTACAGATGAGGAAGCTGAGGCCAGAGACATGTGCTTCCTGAGAGGTTACACAGAGGCAGGACCATGTTCAGACCTTACTGTCCTGAGAAACTAAGGCTGTAACACACAGTTCCTAATTAGACTGACCACTCTCAACAGCCTTTGGTTTGTCTGGGACGGTTACAAAACAGGTATAAAGAAAAATGAAGGAAAAGGTTAAAGCTATCTATATTTTCCCTAAATAGAAATCAGTCACAATATTCAATTATTTATTTGAGGAGGACAGCATATTTTTAAAAAGTGAGAAAAGAATCTCTGAGGGTGCAAGGCCTCGAAGAGCATACACCCTTGCCACAATATTTTAAAGAAGACTACTAAGAAAAGATAGTGTTCCAGTGAGAGAAACTTGAATGCTTTATTAGTTTCTTATGGAAACGTCCTGCCAAGGAGTCTATGGAGGTCAAGTGGGGTGCGTGTGGGGGAAGGGTAGGAGGGGAAATGGAGAAGACACTGAGTACAAATGCCATCTGCATTTTATAGCAACCCTGGCTCGGTAGACTCTGACTAGGACGAGCCAACTTGCTACAAGCACACAAACCATCGTTGGTGCTTAGGGATACTCTACCTACATATACAGTATGACACAGCACATGGAGACAGCAGAGAAAGCATTGCATAGAATGTACTGGCAGAACTCCATGTACCAACAAACGCCCCAGAGATGCACTAATATGCATTCATCCCAACCCCCCAGAGTGGGGGGAAACCCTTTATACACTACAACGTAGGAGAACTTGATGTTCTTTTTATGCTTGAAAAGATTTGAAAACTCTACCATTCGTTCCAGAGATTTCTGTTTTCTGTGGTGTAAGGGCAGAATGAATGGAAGCCATTGCTAAACAGTAACAGCTAATGGGCAGGGCGGGGCGGTGTACTATGGGATTTGCCTCATTACTCCATTTGGGCCTCTGCGACTTTGCAAGGCTTGGGGGAGTTAGGTGACTTGCCCAGGTGCCACCACTGGTAGGCTGCAGGGAGCAGGATTCAGCCACAAACCACTAGCTGTACACCTGCAAAGACCTAGTGGCACTGATCAACAGACGCGGTCTGCTTCACTCTGCTGTTAAATCTGTGACGTGTGCTCTCCGAACTCTACCAGTGAGCTTAAGGCTTAAAGATCTGGGTCATGTGTTTCTGAATGCCCATACCTTACAGAACCATCTTTAAAGAGGTGAACTCTGAGACCAGACCCGAGATACCTGAGAGTAGAGTGACTATAGTTTTGGAATGGTACGTTAAACATGATTAGAAAACTTTAATCCCAGCACTTGGAGCCAGAGCCAGGCAGATCTCTGTGAGTTCAAGGCCAGCCTGGTCTGCATATTTAGTTTTAGGGCAGTCAGGGCTACATAGTAAGAATACATCTCAGAAAAAAAAAAAAAAAAAAAAAAAAGATTAGAACCTACTCTGTAAGTAAGGGGTGGGGTAGTTCTTTAAATAAAAAAGAAATGGCTCCATCGGAGAGTGAACTACAACAAAATCCTCTAAGGCAAAGGACAGGACAAAAGCATTGCATTTTCTACTGGTGAGGGCAGCCCAAAGAGTCTGAGAATCCCAGTAGTGGCAGTGTGTGCCGCCTAGGAGGCCGCTCTCAACAAGCAGATGCACTTGCACGCAGGCGCACTGCTGCATCCTCTCAGGGGCCCATGTCTCAAGATAGAAGAGTTGAATTTATGGTATAATTTTAGATCTAAAAATAATAGGAAGCATGTTTTCACAGGAGACTGTCATGCCGGGTGGTTCTAAGCTTGGCAGTGCTAATGGCTATCCTTATGACGGGAAAAAGTTAGGCAAAAATGAGTCATCTCTGCTGCCTTTAGATCCAGGAAGAACAAGCCGGCTCGTTCTTCCTTCAGGGTCTGCATATAAGAATGTGGCACGGATTCAAGTGGCAGTAAATCACGCATTGCTGCAATCCCAACACCCTCCTGCCGAATCCAGAGCCAGGAGGTGCAGGAGAGCTGTAGCCAATCCCTGCTGGTGTGGCGTTCTGGCGGTTGAACATATCAAAACCAAGGCTAGGCTGACAGTCCTAGTCTTAAACATTCTTCAGCTGAGCCAACTCGCTGGCAACCTTCTATGGTGGTGGGGGCCCCGAACTTGCAGACTAACATCACCCAACTCAATGCAATGGCTTCCCTGCAACAACAAAGCGCGGAGAGGGAGCGAGGCTGCACTCCCTGGTCTTCGGACAGCTGCACTGTGCACTGAGACGGGCACTTGCTTCTTACCGTGGTCCAAGATACAGCACACACTGTTCCTCTCTCTGCATCTTCTCCAGGGCTTTGTCAATCCCGATGGGGATGTCGTGGTCTTCTCCCTCCCCAACCACGAACACCACATCTCGGCAGTCAAACATCCGGCCACCACAGCAGCCTTCCAGGTGCACTGAGGGCAAGGACACGGGACAGTCACAAGCCACCCTCAGCACAGCCTGCCAAGTGACTGACCCACACTGCAGTCACACCACCTCCACTGTAGTTAGTAAGACACATGGTGTGGTGTCATCTGGCAGCTTTGCCCACCTAGTTTGAAAGTTTAAGAATAGCAGTATTTTTTCCATTTTAAGTTAAACGTATACTTAATAATTTCTTTTTTTCTTTTTTTTTTTTTTTTTGGTTTTTCGAGACAGGGATTCTCTGTGTAGCCCTGGCTGTCCTGGAACTCACTCTGTAGACCAGGCTGGCCTCGAACTCTCGAACTCAGAAATCCGCCTGCCTCTGCCTCCCAAGTGCTGGGATTAAAGGCGTGTGACACCACCGCCCGGCAGATGACTTCTATATAATAGATTCACTTTGGAATGTTCTAAATAAAACAGCCAACTTACAAAACACCTCCCCCCCTTTAGTGCATACATATGAAAAACAAAAACCAAACCAAAACCAAACCAAACCAAACCAAGGCAGGTTGCTTACACCAGAGAGGCATCCAGCTGAGCAGCAGCAAATGCTGTCAACAGCTGCTTCTATTTTAAAAACAGAATCAACCTTACTTTAAAGCGTGCACATCAGAGGTTTGGGGGCACGCCTGAGGCTCATGGTACTCTCTGTGGAGTAAGAGGTGATGTCTGGAAAAGGTCGGCTAGTTCTGAGGTTAGGCGTCTAAGCTGAACCTGACTGGGCCTGCAAGCCCAGGTCCTCAGACACCTACAGCCTACCTCAGAATAAAAAGTAACTGGAGAAGTGGGGAGGGGTGTATCTTGGTGCTAGAGGACCTGCCTAGCATTACAGAGCCCGAGGCTCAGCCCAATAACCACGATAAATAAATACACATAGAAGATCCAATCAAAGAACCAATCAAACAAACTATAAATTCATGTAACTACTGTTCTTAAATTTGTCCAAGAAACCGAATTTAAACTAATGGCTGGTGCTGTCCGTGCGAGCAGGGGCTCCTGCCCAACTGTGTAAGAAAACTAATGGCTGGTGCTGTCCGTGCGTGCAGGGGCTC